ATTTTTATTATTGCTTTTCTAGTCCTGTATGGCATCCGAGACAGACATATATATATGTACAAAGATAAAAAAAATCGATTAAAAAATACAAGTAAAAACAAGGACAAAAAAATTGACTAAGAAAAGTTGGGGACAGGGGCTTACATTATGAAGGGAGAGAACAGAATAAAAAAAAAAAAAACGAGTTAATATAAATGATTAGAGAAAGTAAGGAGATAGAAAAGATAAATTTAAAATAGAACTAAAATAAAGTGTAAATAAAGTTCACAAAAGAAGGGGTTAAGATGGTGTCTATTTAAACAGTATCATCATCATATAATCATCATCATCATAATACTATTAATAATAATAAAATATATATATTTAAAACTGTATATATGTGGTGGAGTATTTTCACAGTGGAGGCTTGTATTTCTAATAAGTCGTCATAAATTAGGTCCGACGTACAAAACGTTAGGAACTTGGAAAATAAGAGTCAATGGCGCAGCAATCTAGTTGTGATGGTTGGTACTTCAAATGTCCGAATCTCGAGTGACGCGCTCAACACCATTCAGTATTTATCGTTCCACCCACGAGGACCGAATATGGCACAAGGCCGGTTTTAATGTGGGTATCCCCCGGAGCCCGTAGGCTCGGCCAAAAATATTTATCCTTTGACCCCCGCCTAGACGGGTTTTAGGCCCCTGTCTACCTCCCCGGACGAAACCTTGCCCTTCGGCAAAGCCTCGTCAAAGTTCCTCTCTCTGCTAACGCAGGGAGTTCGACAGAAGGCGTGCGCAGTCAAAGACCGCGAGACGCCATTCGGTATTTATCATTTCACCCACGGAAAACGATATGGCACAAAGCCGGCTTTTATTTGAAGCCGATTAGACGGGTTTCAGGCCTGTTTCTCCCGGACGAAACCTCCGCCCTTCGGCAAAGCCTCGGCCAAAAAACCGCGAGACGCCATTCGGTATTTATCATTTCTTTGAAAGGCCGGTTTTATGTGGGTATCCGATTAGACGGGGTTCAGGCCCTGTCTACCTCCCCGGACGAAACCTTGCCCTTCGGCAAAGCCTTCGTCCGGGTTCCTCTCTAACGCAACGCAGAGAGTTCGACAGTCAAAGAAAAGACGCAATTCGCATTCAAAGACCGCGAAAGACACCATTCCGGTTTTATCGTTCCCCCACGAGGACCGAAAAAAATATGGCACATTAGACGGCCGGCCCTTTTAACGAAACCTGTGGGTATCCCCGAGTCCGTAGGCCCGACCAAAAAATATAGGCCGGTTTTTTATGAACCCGCCTTAGACGGGTTCAGGCCCCGTCTACCTCCCCGGACGAAACCTTGCCCTTCGGCAAAGCCTCGTCCGGGTTCCTCTCTGCTAATGCAGATAGTTTCGACAGGAGGCGTCCGCAGTCAAAGACCGTGAGACGCCATTCGGTATTTATCATTTCACCCACGGAAACGAATATGGCACAAGGCCGGTTTTATTGGGGTATCCCGAGACCGTAGGCTCGGCCAAAAAAATAGCCTTTGAAGCCGATTAGACGGGTTCAGGCCCTGTCTACCTCCCCGGACGAAACCTTGCCCTTCGGCAAAGCCTCGTCCGGGTTCCTCTCTGCTAACGCAGAGTTAGACAGGAGGCGTCCGCAGTCAAAGACCGCGAGACGCAATTCGGTATTTATCTTTTCACCCACGGAAAAGAATATGGCACAAGGCCGGTTTTTTGTGGGTTTCCCCGAGACCGTAGGCTCGGCCAAAAAATAGCCTTTTGAAGCCGATTAGACGGGTTCAGGCCCTCCTACCTCCCGGACGAAACCTTGCCCTTCGGCAAAGCCTCGTCCGGGTTCCTCTCTGCTAACGCAGAGAGTTAGACAGGAGGCGTCCGCAGTCAAAGACCGCGAGACGCCATTCGGTATTATCATTTCACCCACGGAAACGAATATGGCACAAGGCCGGTTTTTATGTGGGTATCCCCGAGACCGTAGGCTCGGCCAAAAAATAGCCTTTTGAAGCCGATTAGACGGGTTCAGGCCCTGTCTACCTCCCGGACGAAACCTTGCACTTCGGCAAAGCCTCGTCCGGGTTCCTCTCTGCTAACGCAGAGAGTTAGACAGGAGGCGTCCGCAGTCAAAGACCGCGAGACGCAATTCGGTATTATCTTTTCACCCACGGAAAGAATATGGCACAAGGCCGGTTTTTGTGTGGGTATCCCCGAGACCGTAGGCTCGGCCAAAAATAGCCTTTTGAAGCCGATTAGACGGGTTCAGGCCCTGTCTACCTCCCAGACGAAACCTTGCCCTTCGGCAAAGCCTCGTCCGGGTTCCTCTCTGCTAACGCAGAGAGTTAGACAGGAGGCGTCCGCAGTCAAAGACCGCGAGACGCAATTCGGTATTTATCTTTTCACCCACGGAAAAGAATATGGCACAAGGCCGGTTTTTATGTGGGTTTCCCCGAGCCCGTAGGCTCGGCCAAAAAATAGCCTTTTGAAGCCGATTAGACGGGTTCAGGCCCTGTCTACCTCCCCCTGACGAAACCTTGCACTTCGGCAAAGCCTCGTCAGGTTCCTCTGCTAACGCAGAGAGTTGAACAGGAGGCGTCCGCAGTCAAAGACCGCGAGACGCAATTCGGTATTTATCTTTTCACCCACGGAAAAGAATATGGCACAAGGCCGGTTTTTATGTGGGTTTCCCCGAGCCCGTAGGCTCGGCCAAAAATAGCCTTTGAAGCCGATTAGACGGGTTTCAGGCCCTGTCTACCTCCCCGGACGAAACCTTGCACTTCGGCAAAGCCTCGTCCGGGTTCCTCTCTCGCTAACGCAGCAGAGTTGAACAGGAGGCGTCCGCAGTCAAAGACCGCGAGACGCCATTCGGTATTATCATTTCACCCACGGAAAAAGAATATGGCACAAAGGCCGGTTTTTATGTGGGTATCCCCGAGACCGTAGGCTCGGCCAAAAAATAGCCTTTTGAAGCCGATTAGACGGGTTCAGGCCCTGTCTACCTCCCCGGACGAAACCTTGCCCTTCGGCAAAGCCTCGTCCGGGTTCCTCTCTGCTAACGCAGAGAGTTAGACAGGAGGCGTCCGCAGTCAAAGACCGCGAGACGCAATTCGGTATTTATCTTTTCACCCACGGAAAAGAATATGGCACAAGGCCGGTTTTTATGTGGGTATCCCCGAGACCGTAGGCTCGGCCAAAAAATAGCCTTTTGAAGCCGATTAGACGGGTTCAGGCCCTGTCTACCTCCCGGACGAAACCTTGCCCTTCGGCAAAGCCTCGTCCGGTTCCTCTCTGCTAACGCAGAGAGTTAGACAGGAGGCGTCCGCAGTCAAAGACCGCGAGACGCAATTCGGTATTTATCTTTTCACCCACGGAAAGAATATGGCACAAGGCCGGTTTTTATGTGGGTTTCCCCGAGCCCGTAGGCTCGGCCAAAAATAGCCTTTGAAGCCGATTAGACGGGTTCAGGCCCTGTCTACCTCCCCGGACGAAACCTTGCCCTTCGGCAAAGCCTCGTCCGGGTTCCTCTCTGCTAACGCAGAGAGTTAGACAGGAGGCGTCCGCAGTCAAAGACCGCGAGACGCAATTCTGCCAAACTTGCCACTGCTACTCCTACTTATTATCTACGGGAGAGTCCATTACCAAAGAATAGGTAGTATAACAATATATTATTATTATTATAAGCATAAAAAATACAGGATGAAAACTTATGTCGACTGCAAAATATAGTAAGGTCAATAGAGCACCGTCTGTGAGAAAAAGAGCACCATGATGATATTCCGTCCACCAGAAATTTGGAAACGGTATGGTGTACTTCTTAGCATTCGCACCGCAAGCTCCAATTCTGATTGTTTGGGTGTCAATATGAGGGAAATGCTGAGGATAGAGTTGGATCACTCTAATGATGATTACGAAGGTGTTTGGAGTGACCACTAGTGATGGTGATGTTTTGCCTCCATTCATCTTCCCACAGAGCCCCAGGCTCAATCCAGAGGCCTACATCAAGTGCCTTGACGGCGTAATGCTGTCCTGGGTCAAGAGGGTGGCTGGTGAAAGACCCTATATTTGATAACAGGACCACGCACCATGCCACGCAAAAAGAGGACCCAGTCATGGCTTTCAGACCACATCATCCTTTACATTTCAACCCCCTAACTCTCCAGACTGAACCCCCTTGGTTATTATGTGTGTGACGCAGTTGAGCGAGAGACCAACAAAACTCTTTAGTATTTCAAGATGTTTTTATATAATTTTGGTAAATATATCTGTTAAAATGAGATATCAATATTATTTTCATTTTTGCGAAATTCAGACGACAATTTATCCATTGATCCGTGTATAAAGTTGCGAACATAGGTATATATACTTGACATGATTATTACAAATTTCTGTTTGTAAATTTGAGATAGTGGTATATGCTCGTGTTTTTTAGATTTTGTCTGAAGATTTTGGGGACTGTGGTTAGGTATATCTGTTAGAACTTCTGGAATAGCATATAAATATATTCACATTGTATATGCATGCCTTTAATCTATATTTGCATTCACTTATCTTAGAATTCAAAATAAAAAAAAGACATCCAATATTGACTACCAAATCAAGTGCCCTCCATCTTCTGCAAGAAGAGATTGCATTGTAAAATACGTTTTGTAACCAATTTTAGCAGAACGTTGTGAAGAATAATCAAGGCCTTTCTCTACGACCAAAACATTTACCCTTAAGTCATATTGGAAAGAATTGAAATTCTATTCATATATTTAGCTGTCTTAAACGAACTGAAGCATGAGACAAAGGATTTCCCTAATTTTCAAATTTGTGTTCCTTTTCATTTCCATATTTTACTTAGATATATTATTTTGGTTTTCCCCTAAATAATATGACCTGAAGAGATATTGACAAATTCAATTTTGGTATGATTATTTTAAAGTAACTAATTAATAGTGCCTCCCCATGCTTAATAAAGTGATAAATCATAATGTAAGAGCTCTTTCTGTCTGCAACGCATTCCTCTTACAAGCGCGCTTGCGCATACGGCACCTATCTATCTATCTATCTATCTATCTATCTATCTATCTATCTCTCTATCTATCTATGGTATGACCTCTTTTATACACACGTCCACGTACTTTTCTTTCGTAACCACACGCATGCACTCATACAAACCGGCATCTATCTATCTATCTATCTATCTATCTATCTATCTATGGTATGACCTCTTTTATACACACGTCCACGTACTTTTCTTTCGTAACCACACGCATGCACTCATACAAACCGGCATCTATCTATCTCTATCTATCTATCTATCTATCTATCTATGGTATGACCGTCCACGTTTTATACACATGTCCACAAACCGTCTATCTTTTCTATCTTTTCTATCTATGTAACCTCTTTTATACATGCACTCATTCGTAAACCGGCATCTATCCGGCATCTATCTATCTATCTATCTATCTATCTATGGTATGACCTCTTTTATACACACGTCCACGTACTTTTCTTTCGTAACCACACGCATGCACTCATACAAACCGGCATCTATCTATCTATCTATCTATCTATCTATCTATATGATCTATCTCTATCTTTATGGTATAACTCTTTTATACACACGTCCACGTACTTTTCTTTCGTAACCACACGCATGCACTCATACAAACCGGCATCTATCTATCTATCTATCTATCTATCTATCTATCTATCTATCTATCTATCTATGGTATGAACTCTTTTATACACACATCCACGTACTTTTCTTTCGTAACCACACGCATGCACTCATACAAACCGGCATCTATCTATCTATCTATCTATCTATCTATCTATGGTATGACCTCTTTTATACACACGTCCACGTACTTTTCTTTCGTAACCACATCTATCTATCATGCACTATCTATCTATCTATGGTATGAAACCACGTCCACGTATCTATAACCACACGCATACTCTATCTATCTATCTATCTATCTATCTATCTATCTATCTATCTATCTATCTATCTATCTCAATGTTCACTCTATCTCCATGTTCAATAGCCATAAATCATACAATAGAGCTCTTTCTGTCTGTCACTCGTTCCTCTTACAGGCACGCGCATCCCACATCTATCTATCTTATCTATTTATATGGTAAGACATTCTCTTTTATACGCACGCCTATGTACTTTTCTTTTGTAACCACACGCATACACCCGCACATACCGGAACTATCTACCCCCCTCTCTCTCTATCTATCTATCTATCTATCTATCTATCTATCTAAGGTATGACCTTCTCTTTTATACGCACGACCATGTGCTTTCGTAACCACACACATGTACAAACACAAACTGGAACTATCTATCTATCCATCTATCTATCTATCTATCTCCGGTATGGCCTGGAATTTTACACATACGTATGAACTTTCTTTTCATCACACACACACACACACACACACACACACACACACACACACACACACACACACACACACACACAGAAATATATATATTCTGCATATGTAATGTGATTGACCAGAAAGGCAGACAGGCAATTAAAGCTAAAAATCGGTCCGTTGTATACGTAAAAAAAGAAAAAAAAATTGCTGTCTATTCTTATCGATTGATGGCTACTCCTTTCCTTATCAGCCACTTTTCTCTTCTGTGAACGGATTGCGTTTTTAGTCAATCCATATCTGTCTTTGTAGTTTTTGTTATTTCACTCTCTTTGTGTCACTCTCTCTTTTCTGTGCTCACCGCTCTCTCCGTCTCTCTCTTTGTCTCTGTTAATATTGCTCAATTTCATTGGCTTGTGCCGTCTCACATTTCTTATCACTCAAATGGAAAATTTCCTATCTAACCACGTTTCTCAAATATTTAAGTCTACATCTTACACTTTAACTTTTTGTTGCATTTTTTTTATTTATTTCCGTTACATTTTATCTGTCAATAAACGGTTGATTAGAGGTAGAATAAATCAAGAAAAGACATTTGAATCCCACGTCCGAAGCAACGAATGTTTGGTTCAATCTATTCTGGTTCAGCCAAATTATTCCAAACACTTCTACATCTTTTTTTTTCTTTATATTTACGTGGAGAACAAGTCTAAAGGTGGAGGGGAGAGGTAGAAGAGTCTGTCAATCTAGAGAATCAGGTTCTGGTTTTTACTTAAACTCGAAACCTCTTCACTGACACTGTATTTAATTGACCCCCTCCCCACTGAGTCAGGTTGTAACACAAAGTCGGTTTTTAACGTGGGGACCCGAGTTTTTTTCACATGGGTCGCTGGTCTTAGCGGATCATAGCTTGTCCAAGCTGGTCCAAGCTGGTCTAAGCTGGTCATAGCTAGTCATAGCTGGTCAGAGCCGGTCCAAGCTAGTCATAGATATGATACTACCAGCGAAGGGACGGATCCTTGTGACCGTTAAGTACCAGAATGTGCATACCACTCAAGAGAAGTTTACACACTCCTTCTTCGCTGACACCGGTGTGAAATATGTCAGTATATCAGTTTTATTAGTTCAAGTGTTATTATAGTGGATACTCATATTTGAAATAGGTATCTCATTTACTTACACCATATTCGGACTAGTGTCCCTATTTTTGTTGTTGTTATTACAACGTTTCGGCTGTTGCACACTCCGGCTTTTATCAGGTGTATATCGATATGAGTAACCCACAGGTCTAACGTAATAAACCCTGCCTGTTGCAGCTATGTCCTGTCTCCCCGGTGGTTCTGGTCGAAAAAGGAATCCACCCGATCTCCCCCCCCCCAGTGAACTGAAGGAACCACCACTGTTCGCCACGTTGTGAATTCTTGATCCGAACAGCAGTGTATCGGTCTCTCCAGAACGGTCCCGTGGAAAGGGGAGGAAATGGCTGGGTATTACGCTGAAAGGAAATCACTATTCATGCAAAAAAAAAAAAAAGTTTCTTGCCGTAGCCGCAAAGACATGAAAAAGAAAAAATAAGTAACTCTTTCGGTTCATGTAACAAGAGCCCTTTTTAGGCCCCTGTTTTCAAAGTTCAATGATTTTCAAAAGTTAAGTTAAAATGGAGAGACTTTTGCTATGTCATGATAAATCTCGCCTCATATATATAGGTATGTGTGTGTATGAAAGAGAGATATATATATATATATATATATATATATATATATATATATATATATATGTAATAATATACGTATATTAAAATATTGAAATAATATAAGTATATTAACAATTATACATCTCAGAAATGAATGCTAAATTATGGCAAGCGGTAAAAACCTGCCATCATAACAAAATGTCAAAAATTATCTGGCATTGAATATAAAAGTTTTCAAAAAATACAGCACTTCATGACATCGGCATAGTGTATACAGGAGTTGATTATATATGTCTGACTGTTATCTAGCGATCATAAATCAACGGATATCACAATATTTCTCAAACAATAGGCACCTGATAATCGAAACGTTTAAGCTATAACATCTATATCAACCAAAATTAGAAAAGTGGTTCAAAATAATATATTTACAATTACTCATCTCAGAAATGAAATCCTAAAGTTCTGCTTTAATGTCGGAATTATATAGAAGAGGAATTTTCACCATTATATGCCTTTCTCCTTAGATTAATATCCCCATTATTTCAGCCACTTCAGGTGTCTCTCTTCTTATTGGGGAACTTCTGTGTAATTTTCAAACTGAACACTTTATTCAGTTCACGATGTGATATTGTTCTCAATTTGCCTTCTATGCTCAATGCAGCTTTTGTTTTTATTTGCCATTTTTCTTTCAGAGTGTGGATGATCATTGTTCTCTATAACTTTCTGTCTTTTCATCCGCTGAGTAACTTTTACTTCTTTAACATAACTCTTTGTCCTTGATCTACTATCAATTCCCTACAAATCGTTAAATAGGTCACACACTTTCCCCCTAAAATGTACTTGTCACGCGAGTTTAGTGGAGTGAGTAGCCATGGTCAAATGCAAAATAAGTAACAGAACTGTCCAATAAAAAGAAGTGACATAGATTTCAATAATCAATAACAAGAAAAAGAAAAGAAAAAGGCAAGAATAATACAAAGCAAGCAAACAATAGTTGCACGTTAAATTTACAGTAATAAGGCAAAGCAACAGTAATATGGCAAAAAGTTCACAAAATAAGAATTGGAGTAAGCACGAAAGAGGAAAATGCATTCTGACTTCAAGACGAGATAGACCGGCACCGAATCAGATGAAATCGAGAACCGGCCTATTTTATTGGCTAGGAAAAATCCTAGCAGGTATTTGTGCGCTTCTGCCTATAAAATACGGATGTGAAAGTATTTTGCAGTCATTCCCAAAGGGATGGGAATCAACACAGTATCTGTTTTTCTTTTAGTTCCTATTTTCCTCAAATTGTTATAGAAAATTTACAAGGATAAGTTTGACTTGATGGGAAAAGCTATCTGATGAAAACTGTGTAAGCGACTAATTTTTACCATACAGATAAGCGGTATAGGAACAGACAAACATCTACGAGACCGTAAGACGTTAAGATTTTAGTTTTAAAAAGTTAACAGTCCAGGCCAGAAGACCAGAAATGGTGTTAGCAAACAAAACAAAAAAAAAATGTCTATCGTCAATTTCAATGTTCCAGTCGACTGCATAGTACATATGAAAGAGAAGGAAATGTCAACTTTACTTGAGAACTGATGAAGTTTTGAAACATGATGAAAATTGTGCTATTCGCAACCGGGGTGAAAAATAATGGAGGAGCTGAAAATTATAGATAACAGTTGGAATCATCCCGATGAAGATAATGTTGCAAGCAGAAATTCGGAAAAAAAACATGAGATTTGAGGAGACTTGTTGTCACTTGACATCTCGTGTAAGTCACCAGGTTTTAATTGTATGAATACTCAGTAAGTGAATAACAACAACCAAACCTCTTACTTTTTGTTAAATGTTTTGTCTCTAAATGTTGTACGTGATCATGACTATCCATAACTTTCTCTTTAATATCTGTAAACTATTGCATTGGCCTGACTATTCTTAAGGAAGACAGTGGAGTGCTTTCTATTGTTTTGAATTCAGAGTAAATTTTCTACTCTAGTTGCTAAACAAGGCTTCAGAACCAAATCTGTCCTGAACAAGAGCGATCCGACGGAAAATGGAGACAACTAAAAGAGCAACTCTCTTTTTTGAAAATCTAAACCTGATTTTCTTTCTGAAATGTGTTCACAGATAATCTTATCAATGAATATTTCCATCAAATATCAATACACCTTAATAAACTATTCTTTGTTCGTCATTCGATTCATTTTCCTTTTTGATGTGAATTATTTATTTTCTCTTTTTCTTCGACAACTTTTTTGTCATATTAGCAATGACTAATTCAATTTAGATTTAACCAATGGACGCTCTTCAGAAGGAAATCACAATATCGAGTGTTAATGAATTCTTTACAGAACGGATGGATGACATATATCGATTTCATCAATCTGTCTGTCGATCTCATCAATCTGCCTATCTCAACCTAGCCATATCTATCTATCTATCTATCTATCTATCTATCTATCTATCTATCTATTACAGTCAGTTCATATCTATCATCCATCTATCTATCTATCTATCCATCTATCTATCTATCTATCTATCTATCACAGTCAGTTCATATCTATCTATCTATCTATCCATCTATCTATCTATCTATCTATCTATCTATCACAGTCAGTTTATATCTATCTATCTATCTATCTATCTATCTATCTATCTATCACAGTCAGTTCATATCTATCTATCTATCTATCTATCTATCTATCTATCTATCTATCTATCTATCTATTACAGTCAGTTCATATCTATCTATCTATCTATCTATCTATCTATCTATCTATCTATCTATCTATTACAGTCAGTTCATATCTATCTATCTATCTATCTATCTATCTATCTATCTATCTATCTATCTATCTATCTATCTATCACAGTCAGTTCATATCTATCTATCTATCTATCTATCTATCTATCTATCTATCTATCTATCTATCTATCTATTACAGTCAGTTCATATCTATCTATCCTTCTATGTGTCTGTATGCATCTATATCTATGTGTTATCTATCACGGTTTGAACATTACATTTAGACTTAAAGCCATATGGCATTGAAACATCGGATCTCTTAAGATCACCGAAGTTAAGCAACGTCGAACCCGGTCTCTACCTTGATGGGTGATTGCTCGAGAATACCAGATGCTGTGAGCTTGCATATGCGTGTAGTGTAGTATATAATGGCTCAGAAATATAAATCGGAAAACCGGGTTCGTTATATTCGCTTATTCGCAAATACCTTCGAGAAAGGCATGAATCCACTTCTTTCACCCGGGTATGGGCTAATTGATAGGAATTTTATCAGTAAATCACTATTACCATCCCAAAATTCTTACAATCTAAAATATATTCTTTCTTTTAATAAGCTGCAAAATGTTCATAAGCCGTAAAATCCCCCCCAATTACTTTTACCACAAAATTTTGGCAGCAACACACACACACACACACACACATATATATATATATATATACATTTAATTGAATACGACAGACGAGGTGCTTTGATTTTTTTTGTACAATTTCTCATGTGATTTTATTTTTTTTTCCGAAAATTATAAGATCACATGAGAAATTGTATAAAACACTAAATAAAAGCGCCTTGTCTGCCGTATTCAATGAAGTGTGCATGAAAGAAGGATTGCTGCCTAAATACACACATATATATATATGTGTGTGTAACTTCTAAAGATTAATGCATTCCGACATTATTTCTTATTACTTCAAACTTCCTTATTAATGTTTCTCGGATGCACAGACAGGTAGCCATAATACACACTTTATTCTTAAAATGGGGCCTTCTACTCAAGCAGTTGTATCAAATAAAAATATCGTTTAGATATTAAGGAATATAAGTTTGTATGCATATAATTGTTTATTTCGGCAGCATCCCCTCTCTAATACATGTTATTTAAAAATGACTGACAGTGTACATATGTCACATTTTTTTTTTCTTTTTGTAATATTTTTGTATGCCACTGTTTTCTTTGTTTACTCCTAACTGTAAAAATTATTGTCCAAATATTTGGTCAATTCGAGCGCTTTTGGCTAATCTATGAGACATTTTAAAGCGTTTTGGTCGTGATATTGTAAATGGTGTCTAGATCCTGATATTCTTTCTTTTTGCTGCATCTTTGAAATCGACTCCGGTGATGTCATGTGTAACTGTTATTGAGAATAACGGTGACAAAAATAATGCGATTTATTTATTTTTATTATTTATAATTTATGTATTATTTTATTTTATTTATTTGTATTTTTTATTTTATTAATATATGTCTACTTTAAATATATCACATGGATGATGCGGTCAATGATATTTTATTTAATATAGTCGAAATTAAAGAAAACATATATATATATATATATATATATATATATATATATATATATATATATATATATATATATATATATATATATATATATCATTATAGTGATTCATCGAGTCTAGAACAATCTTCAGGAGAAAGCACTGGACAGCCGTTTCGTCCACTACCAACATTCAAACACTTACCGTTTCGATACAACGCAACCATCAACTGTACTAACGGACCTGACGAAGAAGAAACTCATCCAAATATTCATAACCCAACGGATTATGCCTTAAGAGCCACGTCTTTCGTTTTCCTCGAAGCGCTTCATCGCAGAGCATTGGCTGGGTTAAGCAAGGATATACAAGTTGAGTTATGAATACTTGGATGAGTATCACCACGGAATTTATGAGTTACGGTGTTGCATCGAGTCTGTTTAGTTTCTTTGCGTAAATACCACAAATTTTCTATATATATATATATATATTGGATAATAAATATATATATATATATATATATATATATTGAGAATATATATATATATATATATATATTGGATAATATATATATATATATTGATAATATATATATATATATATATATTGATAATATATATATATATATATATATATATATATATATATATATATATATATATTGAAGAAAATATAATAATAAATGAAAATTGTGAGAATTTACACTATTTCTAATAATAATTGCCACAAGGAATACATAGGAAAAATATGAAAGAATTTAAATAAAATATGAACACAAACTCCTGTTTTGAGTCATTTATGCATTCATTTTTGAGTTCGCATTGTGGATGCAATCATAGGTAGACTTTTTATTAATAATTTTTAATGTCTTTTTCCAGATGCAACTTAGAAATGGATATTCACAGTTTTTATTTTTCACGATTTCTTGCATAACCTTTATAAATAAGTCAGGATGTATGCGTTACGTATTAAGAAGCATACACATTGCATATATTCTTTCATTAATGACTGAAATCACCCGGCAAGTTGTCCATAGTTATAAGACGAAACTTGTACATCGTTTCGGGGATTTTCTTATCCAAGGTTTGATGTATAGACAATCTGAGCAAAATGATTAGAATTAGTAAAAGACAAAGAGGACAAAAAGAACGTCTAAAGTAAACATCAAAATTATCGCAGAAAAAATATACGGCGGGAAGCGAAAAATGATATAAAAGAACAAAATCGCGCAGGGACATCAGGATTCATTTGGGAAGGGTTCAATTATTTCGCCGCGGGCTCTCCTCGAGTAAGCAGAGAACATACGATATCTATAAAAAATAATGAACACAATACACGCATGCTTGGGATTACTGCGTCTGTGTATATGTAGGTGCATATGTATGTCAGATTTGTGCTTATTTCTTTACAGGAAAGGATGTATTTTACTTGCTAACACATCAGCCGTTAGTGATAGGGAAAGTTGTTTCCATTAAGCCAGTCCTTTAAATTTAAGTATGGTTAGCTGACTGATTTTGTGCTTTAACCTCGAATTTCAAAGAATATATTTCGATGTGTCATTTCATGTTCATCGAGCGGGACGTCAAATCCAGCTAATCTAGCTAACCCCCACCGCCGTAATATAGCTTCCCCGTGCCGTTTCTATAAATAATTCCATGGTAATTGTTCGGATGAACTTTCCTCTGTGATGCTTAGACTTTATAAATTTAAGAACAATAATAGATTAACGGCAAGGTGTCATCATTTTACTGTGGCAACTGATAAATGGAACCGTAAGTTCTATGCTAACAGTTTCTTTGATCACATTTCTCGCTTGTGTAAGTCTTTTCCAGCTTCTTGCTTTCTACTCAACTTTGATCATCAAAAATTTAAATGCAATATCAATATATATCTACTGTCTTCTTATTTCATGTTCTTTTATCGTTCTGGTTCATTAATTATGGTTCTTCTTTTCTTATATTCATTTATTCTGTGTAAATCCCTGTGTATTAGTGGCTTTATTGCCTTGCTTGGAGTGAAATGATTAAAAAAAAACTTACACAGCGTTCAAAAACTACTTTTCGTCACTTTATATCGGTAAACATAAAACGAAGAAACGCTGACTTGAACTTTAGTTTAATTCGGAACATGGCTCTCCACAGATTTTTTCTTTCTGAGAATCGTCATTCATTCTTAGAAAAAATTCCCGTTACGTGTTCTTTGGTTTGGAATTCAAAGTTGTCCTTTTTTCTTTTTTTTTTTTTTTTTTTTTTTTTTTTTTTTTTTTTTTTAGATAGTCTAAAGAGTCCAGTCTATGTGGCTAGTTAACACATAGCCGAAGGTGGAGAGATGGATTCATGCCTTTCCTTAGGTTAATATGTGGGAAAGTAAACGCTACAGTGTGGGTCAACATTTAAGCCTATACTTAAGGTATCTGTAACTATATGCATTGCTCTTTGTGCAAGCAGGCTAGTCAACTTCTGCGCTGATAACCGCTATGTCTTCACATTAAAATGCCTAGATCTCCCAGCGAATTGAAATAAACATATAACATATACAAGCCCAAAATTACCGTATTTGTAACTATATGCTTTGCTCTTCGTACAAGCCTGCTAATCAACTTCTGCGCCGATAAACGCTATATCTTCACATTAAAATACTTAGATCTACTAGCGAATCGAAATAAACTGGTCTATGACAGACGTAAGACTATACTTAACGTATCTGTAATTATATGCTTTGTTCCTCGTCGTCGTGGTCGGCTGAACTCGTTGTTGAGTATTGTGGTACTGATCGACATTTCCTTTTGTGTGAAATAAGCTCTAAGTTAGATCTGAAGAGACACCCGCAACCAACGCATGGTAGGGTAAGACTCTTCAGGAGATAGTGAACTCTGGCTTTTCTTTGGGCTCTCTACCATCTCTTCCATTTGCCCTTTGGCGTTTTCGAAGAATGTTGATTTTTCGTGAACTGCTTTTCCCCAATAGGTTCTTTAAACGTAAGAAGAAAAGCCTTTGAGCATGAAAGCTTTGACTGTGAATTATTTGAGGTGGACCAAGAGTCGCCACTCCTGGCAAACACACTTCAGTTAACACCACCGATTGCGGTAAACCAGGGCTTGGCAGGCAGGTTCATGATGATAACTTGCATTGGGCTGCCGCCTTGTTCACGTACATAGAACGTCGCCCTGGCGTCGGATCGTACTTAGTCTAGTCCCTTCCCTAAATCCTTACCGCCATGGTGATCCTACCAGGAGATGGAGCTCCCGACGACATTGCATTCAGTTTCATCGTGATACACAAGCTCATCCATTATACACATTATATACGTGTTTTAGAAGCTCAAATCAAAATAACTGATTTTTAAGTATATAAAAGGTTAGGTAACCAAAACACTAGAAAAAAAAAAAAAAAAAAAAATTACTAACTAGTTGGAATTCTAGAAAGAAAAGAAACAGAAATGGATATATATATATATATATATATATATATATATATATATATATATATATATATATATATATATATTTAAACCTTTAAAATATTATACTTAGTGAAGAAGTCATTATTTAACATACAATAAATCATTTATACTACGTTTTTGACAGTATTAAGACCTTAACTATGAATTGAGAAAAATAAACGAGTGTAGAAATTGCAAAGTAGATAAATTCAGGTAAGCAAAAACAAACTAAAAATAAGAGAAAGGATCGTCATGTTATTTGACAAAAAACATATAAATACTAATACAAAAAAAAACCCTGTGGTAAAAGTTAAAAGAAATTTATTTATTATCATTTAAACGCTACATATATAACTTCAAATAAATATAATAATATATATATATATATATATATATATATATA